CGGTAATACGTGATTTCATTGTTGTACTTGACTCTACAACAAGATCCATTGGTTACGAATATGAACTTATTCTGAAAGAAAAGCTTCAGAACAGAGATATTCCATTTATTAGTGAGTATTCAACTGTAATTTTGTTAGTATCAGACCTTGCTTGCCTGCTTTAAATTTTCGTTAATGTTCCTCTTATTCCTTTTATCATTATTTTCCATTTTATCATTTTTCTCTTCCTTCCATCAGTACCTCAGTCTTTGGTTCACTCTTTATATCCTTGATTCTTTGCTGTCATTTTTCTTTGTTACATTTACTCTCATGCTACTCTTGTTCTATTTTTCCTTTTTTCTTTTTTTTTATCATTCCCTTCCTCTTTAAATCCGTCCATCCATCATTTGTCATTCCACTTTTCCATTCATTTTTTTTTTATTCCCTTTTTGTACCTATGCTTTTCCCTTGGACTATTTTTTTCATTCTTTCTTCCCTTCTCTCTTCCCCTCCTTTCCCATATACCCATTGTTCATTTTCGTTTGATAATCTATTGTCTACAAGGTGAAGAGGACATGCGAGCCAGAGGCTATGACAAGACACCTGACTTCAAACTTGAAATTCCTATTGGTGAGTAACAAAAATTTTCTAAACTTTTCCCATTCAGTAGCATCCTCAGAAACTATGGGCTCAATGACACTTTGGCTTCTGAAGATGATCCTATTATTAAAGAAAAATCATTTGAGACCCTAGAAGCATGCCTTTTCCCACACATTTTAACTAGTATCATGTAAAAAAATGTAGGTGGTTAGGTTGGTGTGATGTGACCTTAGCTTGTATTTTTTTCATATTTGTTTTTTCTTACATTGCTGCTTACTATTTGTACAAGAATAGCCCATCTTCAACATTTACTGCTGCAGTAACATTGTGTTGCATTTTTATCTACATAAATCAGTATTCTTATTTCATGGGATATTGTTTCATTCTGATTTGATTTAAATGATAATTTATCCATTTAGCCGTAGATGGCTATGTTGTCAACTGGATTGAAAGCAAAGCATCTTTTGGTGATGAATACAGTAACCAAACATACCTAAAAGAACAATTTTGGAGCTACTGGAATAGGTAATGATAGTCCTTATGAGTGCAGCACCACGATGCACAGCAATGAAAAGCATATAGGGGCGTGCTACGGAAAATGAGGTGACTTCAAATTATATCCATTACAATCGTATCCATGCATTTGTTGGAGTCTTCTGAAGTCTTTTGAAATAATAAGACCAAGAGGTTAAATTTTACAATTAGAGAGAAACGGATGTACACAGGCTATTCTTTGCAGGCGTTCACATAATTCACAAGTTTTCTCCTCATAATGACGCCTGCAAAGGAGATTAGAACTTCCCCTTTCCAAAGTGATCATCGTATCGTCGCTTTTTGTTGTGCGTTAGATTGTGCGCGTCCTATGTTAATTATAACCTGTTTTTTTTCAGGTTTGGATCCGGTTTGGTGATCTATTGGTTTGGGTTCATTGATGAGTTGGACTGTAACCGAGACCGCGGTATTGTAATTATGGACTCCTTTCCATCAAACATTGTARCTATAGATAGTTTATTAGCTGAAGAAGAACAAGGCAAATAATGCGAATTACAGTAATTTTAGTAAAAGTCGCTCAGTATCGCCTCTCGCTCTTCGCAATATCCTCCTTCCCTTGATGCATTGCG